GCGCCTCTTGGGAGTATTTTTGATCCATACTCTCCTCTCCTGTGCTAGTCACGGTACATTTGATTGGCTCTTCAAATGTAATCAATGGAGCCATTGTTGCAGAATCTTTACTTTTCACTAATTCTGTTAAATCTGGATACAATGGAGCATACGGTGGAGGGGAAGAATCAGGAGCTGTACTTTGCAATTTGGCAGCAGTCATCCATTTCTCATTTAGTTTGATCATCATTGAAATCAGAGTAACCTCATCTGTCAACTTTTGAATTTTCTTATTTTCTAACGGCTTCTCTCTTTGCATTTGAGAACGTTTCTCCAAAACTAATTCTCTTAGTTGTTTCATTAACCCTTCACTTGGAGGTGAATTTGACTTAGCTAAAATACCATCTTTCTTTTTTGATTTTAACCATGTTCTAACGCTCCTTGTTGTTGTATTTTTAATCTCTGTTGTCCCCTCTAAATACTGTATAATCCCCTTTATCCACTCATCTAATGTTACAGATGCCATGTTTTCTACCGTCTAGATTACAAGCCTTGTGTTATCAATATCAATGTAAAGAATCAGCAATTGGGTGCGTAATCTTAGAGCGTCAGATCGTGGTATCTCCCCGTTCGACCACAAAATGTGGTGGGGAAATGTACGCACGAATCGTGACCCCGTCCTACGCGACCCAAATTACTGCGTTCACTGTGACCGTTTGTGCAATGGTCACTTCCACAGAAGACATCAATCACTCATTCACACCAAGAGAAAAATTAAAAAGTGAGAAAAGTTAGACACTGTCCCTGTCCTTTCCCTTATTGTCAATTAATTAAAACACACAGTTTTCTCCTTCAACTATTAAATCACTGAGATTACACACAGTTCACTCCTTTTAACTCATAAATCACTTAGATCCTCACACAGTCCTTTTAGGTTGACTATCAATCACTGAGATAACACACAGTTTTTCTCCTTTTCTTAAGTCACTTAGACTTTAGAATACTATTATCCCAATAAATATAAAAATACTTGCAAGCAAATCCTTCAATATTTACCCTACTTTTGTTTGTTTGTTTTTTTATTTTTAGGTCTCAGGTCAGGTGAAAGGAAAGATTAATTAGTTGGTAACAATCTTACCGTTTTACTTTGGCGCCAAATTAATCTTTTCTCTGACCGGTCCTAGTGTCTCCTGTCGAATCCTGTTCGTGACGCCAAGTTCTGCAGTAATTTGTCAGAATTCCCCTGCCCCAGAAGCTGCAGAGAGGCCGCAAACGCAGCCCTTCGTTCTGCAGGTCCTTTTAGTTCAACAAGAGACAAAAACCAATGTTAAAACAGTAATAGAAATGACAGATACCAAACCTGATTTCAAAAGGTTATATTGAAGATTTTGCAAGCAATATTACAATATTAACGGTCTGCGAACACAAGTCTCGCTTCGCGTCCAAGATAAGGAGTGGCCCCGGGGACGTCTTTCACCCTCCTGGTCAGAAGAAAAAGAAAAAGCCCCCGTGCCTCCTCCTGTACATCTTTTATACTGTACATCCAAGGTCACTGACATCACAGATTCGTGGACTCTATGACTCCTTCTGGCCCACTGCCAACGTTTGCACCTGCTCTGATAACCACTTGTCTCCCTCTTGTCCCCCTCCCATCTCACACAGACTAACCTTGAACTCACTGCTCTTTGAGATTTACACAAACAAGTGCTAATTTGGCAACAGAAACAATACTAAACTGATTTTAGTTTTAACTGGTGCAGGAGTTAATATTCCAACAATCGACAAGGAAAAACTCTTAAAAAACCCAGTGGGAAAAAGTGAGAAACCTTGGGGAGAATTAGGGAAACCCACAGGGAGGGAGACCCATATGAGAAAGGGATCCGCTCCTCCGGACGGACAGGCTAATGATCTAGGACCTAAGCTAGCTACAGAACGTGGACCAGTGGACGCTGAACGTGGACAGGTCCGGTGCAGGACTGAAGCACTCCCAGGCGGGTCGGGCGGGGCAGTCCGCAGGTGTAGATGGAGGAGGCCAGGCTCAGAGGTCCCGTCATCGTACCATGAAACAGACAATGGGACAACGGGTGAATAGCAATGAACAAACTACAGTCAAAATCCTAAAAATGCTATACAGATAAAGTAGGAAGGAGGAGAGGATAGTGCTCAAGTTACCATACTTCTCCCAGCAAACTGACTCCCTATGCAGCTTGACTGACAGTCTGAGGAGTTTAGCCTTCCCTGAGTCTTACCTTCCTAGCCATATGCTAAACTAAAGAGGACTGTTTTAAACCTAGCCTTGAATAAAGAGAGCGTATCTGAAAGGAGGCGAGACAGCAGCAGCCACGGCTAGGCTAGTCTAGGCTACAGCACCAAGATTCATGGATTGCACACCAGGTGTGCAAACCGATCCAAGCAAACCTAATTATATATTATATATCATATACATCATATATACCATACATACCATATATATCATATATAATACATAACATAACATACAGCATAATATATAACATAATATACAACATAACACAATACACAACATAATACATATATTGTCTAATATATAACATAATACAGCATATATATATAATATATACACCATATATTATATATTACCTAATTATATGCTAAATTAAAGTAGTGCTTTAAGCCTGGCCTTGAATGTGGAGACCGTATCTGCTTCCTTAACATAAATGGGAAGCTGATTCCACAGTAAAGGAGCTTGGTAGCTAAATGCTCTGCCACCAACAGTGACCTTTGAGACCTTAGGGACCACCAGACGTCTGGCGTTTTGTGAGCGCAACGCTCGACCTGGTTGATACGACACTAACGTGTCTTGGAGATAAGAAGGAGCCAAGCCATTTATGGCTTTATATGTTAAGAGTAGGATTTTAAACTTTATTCTGTACTCCACAGGGAGCCAGTGGAGTGATTTCAACACCGGAGTTATGTGCTCGATCCTTTTGGTACCTGTTAAGATCCTAGCTGCTGTATTCTGAACGAGCTGGAAGCTCTTCAAAGAGGCTTTAGGGCACGCTGCCAGTAAAGCGTTACAGTAGTCGAGCCTTGAGGTGACAAACGCGTGAATGAGTTTTTCCGCGTCACTTTTAGGAAGGAAATTCCTAATTTTAGCGATGTTCCGTAAGTGGAAGTACGCCGTTTTAGTTGCTTGGCTTATATAAGCCTTGAAGGAGAGTTCTTGGTCAAAAATGACTCCAAGATTCCTCACAGTGTTACTGGGTATTATACTGACATTATCGAGAGTAATTATCTGGTTAGTGAGGGAGTCACGCAGGCGCTTCGGACCGAGTAGGATCACTTCTGTCTTCTCCGGGTTGAGAAGTAGGAAGTTAAGAGTCATCCACATTTTAAGGTCCTTTATGCAGGCACTGAGCTTTTCTAGCTGATCTGTCTGATTTGGCTTCATCGACAGATAAAGCTGTGTGTCATCTGCATAGCAGTGGAAATTAATTCCATGTTTTTTAATGTTTCCTAACGGCAGCATGTGGTTTTCAGTGCCTTAAAACCATAGACAAAATATCAACGAATGTAGTCACACCTATCTCCGTTGTTGAAACTAATGTGCCACCGCTTTTGCCTTCTGTGGGGCTTTTTTTTAAAAAGCCACAGAAAAATTTGAAAATAGGCATTGGCGCATGTGTTTTGCCTTCTGAAGTCCAGAGGCTAAACTAGAATGATCAACAACAAAAACCACTCCCCTCAGCATTGACACACATCTGGAATTAGCGTTGGACCAAGAGCCGACTTTTGGACCATCTTGTAAAGCCGTTTTTGAGAGGATAGACGACGCCATACAAAGCTTTGGATAATAATTGTTCCGGGTACACCCCCACCGACCCAAACATGTCAACACACATGCTCATGGACCTTTTGGAGCTGGGACCCGCCCCCACTGATTAAAACACCTCATGAAATTATATTGAGACCAGTTAAAACATTATCAGTTGATCGGTTTAAATGTAATTCTGGACAATTTTTTTTTTTTTTTTTTTTCCAATGGAGCCGGTGCGGTTTATACACAGGTGTGCTTCAAGTCCAGGAGGTACTGTCATTATTTTAATGTGTACTTACTGCAAGACAAACATGACCCACTCAATCCACGTGTGGATTTCACTTTGTAATTAACACAACAACAACAAAAAACTTGACAACTTAATAACAGTTTCTTTTTATTATAAGTCATATTAATAAAACATTTGTTAATGGTAATGTACAAATGTGGCCAAGCAAACCAAGAATGATAAATACTGTATACAATATGTTCTTGAACACTGGCGGTACACTATGGCAAAGCGAACTGTTTTGGTTCAATTGACACCAGTTGCAAAAAACAACCATTTCAAACACCTCGTCATTTGTGCTGAAAGATCCTTTTAACAACATTTTCACTAACCCAGCAATCATGAAAGAGTCAGTTTGTATTATCAAACGTTAGCTATTAACCCCGTCTGTAAACATTTTATTACAAAAACTTTGACCACACAAAACGTGTCGGAAGAGAAAAGCTCTAATCTGATGCTCTGGCTGTGCCTTTAAGACTCATTTGGAAATGTAGTCAAAACCTTTTAGGAAAAGAAAAGAAAAACACAGTCTAATTGTGTAAACAGAGTGCAAGTATTTAGAGAAGAAAGAACATCTTTGTCACATGAAAAGTATCAAATTAAAGTGAAAATTATTTGAGTCCAGTCCATTAGTTCAGCTTCTGTGTAGTATTAAGACATCTCAGCAAAAAACTTAAGCAAAGAACAAAATAATCCATATTATTTCTACTTATCTATGAATGATTGCATTGTCTTCCTCACATTGATGTAAAAATATTGAGAAAGAAAATGTGAGATTTGAAAACATGATAGAAAAGTTAAAAATGTTTGTGTTCCTACAAGGAGATGGCTAGAATCACAGTCGGTGCAGGTGCTCAGGTGGAAGAGCTACCCTGAGCGTGAAAACGTCGTTGTTCAGCTGCTTTGGCGCCCGGACGGAGCCTCTCGCTCGGGGGATTAATGGTCATGGAATCCCGGCATGGGGAAGGGTCTGGCGAACGCCTCCACGCGCTTCCTCAGATCAGCAATGCGGCTCACCGTCTCTGGGTCCTGCAGCAGGAAATTCTTGAAGTCTTGTAGTTTTGCTGCAGAGAAGAAAAGGTTTACTGTGGATTACAATGTTAGGAAATAATGACAGTGTTCTCTGGTGGAGGCAAAACGGGGAAATAGTGACAGCAATGAATCACTGGAACAAATCCTCTCGAAGAATTACCCGTCTTTTTCTTGACATCCAGAGCAATTTTAAAGCCCTCGTCCATGTATTCCACAACTTGGACAAAGTCGTCCTCTTTGAACTGTCTGGAGGTCAGAGCCGGAGCGCCTGGAAGCACACGCTAGATTCAGTTTGGTGACAACAGACACACTGTAAATGACTTTTTGAAACCGGGTCATTAGAGCAGATACTCTTATACAGTGATTTCAGACGTGTTTTTAAGATGAATATGGGGAACGTATTCTACATGATGATGTCACTGCTGCAGCTCTGGTCAAGTGTACTGAACCGGCATGAGATGTTTACTGCAGGATGGCTTCTCCGTTGTCAAACGTGTCAGAGAAGAGTTATTCAAATGAACAGAGCTATTCAAATCTCTGAAGAATCAGTCCATCTGATGTTTCTCCACATTTTAGTCAAATCTGAAGAAAAGCCTCCTGTTCTCTTCACCTGCAGAGTATTTAGGGTTGAAGCCGTTAGCGCAGCATTAGCGCTGTAGTTGTTTGAAAACGATTAATATAATTTAATCGCAATCAATCTCAATGTCATAGTTAACTCACAATTAATCCCAATTAAATCACAAACTTTTTGCCGTTGCGTCTTAAATGTCCCTTGAATTGGTTTGAAAAGGGAGATTGGATGAAGCAAATCTTATAATAATCCAATTCCCTCCAATAACAAAGTATTTGGATTATTCCACGGCCAGGAGAGAAGCTGCATAATAGTTCACTGAGGCTTCAGTATATGCTGCTTCTGCACTTCCTGAAAGGTAATTAATAAAAAAAGAAACATGTTTAATAAATCATTATCAATGCTCGTGGCATGATTGTTGCCCCTCTTATTGAAAATCCAATTATAGATGAAGGTTTCATATCTTCTTTTACTCAAGACTGCAGTTATGATTCTAGATGTAATAATTGTATATTTTAAAAACAGGGGTTTCTCAGCCTTCTAACTGTGATCATCCAGTGTCTTTTCAAGGCCAGAGCAGTGGTCCCTCACCTAAGCGCAGTCCACCAGGCGTCAGTGCACTCTTGTCTCCAGGGCAGGTGTTTTTGTTGGCAGTGATGGACACCAGCTCCAGGACCCTCTCAGCCCGGGCTCCATCAATGCCCTTAGGCCTCAGGTCCACCAGGACCAGGTGGTTGTCAGTACCGCCTGAAACAGCATTTTAGTCACTTCAGTCGAAGGTTGATACAGATTTGCACTGGGTATCTCTCAAGAAATGCAATTTGTAGTTTTATTCAAAACACAGCATGCTTTTATTTCAGAGTAAGTATCTACTTAGCCATATATACAAAAGTGCTGAGGAAATAGTAAAGTAATACAGGGCACATGGATTTGCACCATGGATCATTTATCATTTGAAGGCAACAATAATATAAAATTATTAAGTAGTTAGACATTTAAAAGTGTTTGATTTATTGATGTGCATTATGTTTAACGCTTACCTGACACCAGAGTGTAGCCTTTACTGAGCAAAGCCTCTGCCATGGTCTTTGAGTTCTTTATGACCTGAGCAATGTACTCTTTAAACATGGGCGACTGGGCCTGAAGAAACCACACAAACAACATGTATGACCAGACTCTGGATCATTTGGAATGATCGTTTTTATACGACTGACCTGTTTGAGGGCCACAGCAACACCAGCAATAGCATGGTTGTGGGGTCCTCCCTGAAGTGAGGGGAAGACTGCAAAGTTAACCCTGTCTTCCAGATCGTAAAGGATCTCTTTGCCCTTCTTATCCACAGAGCGAACACCCTTTCGATAGAAAATAAGACCAGCCCTGTAACAAAAGTCCACAAAAGTGTTATTTGTAAATAATAAAAATGAAAAGAGCCGTCACTGCTCCCTCTGTGTGACTTGCCGTGCTCCGCGTAGAGACTTGTGTGTAGTTGAGGTGACGATGTCGGCGTGGTCAAAGGGAGAGGGGATGGCCTGCGCTGCCACCAGTCCACTGATGTGAGCCATGTCTGCCAGCATGTAGGCCTTAATGTCTGTGCACAGCTGAGGGACAGGAGCAAGCGGTCATTTCAACACTTTACGTCTGGGTTATCCTTTTTATCGAACACTTTCCTCTTCTGCACGAGATTTTTGAGGATTTCTTAAGTATGTTTTACTGTATTCTTCAACACAGAAAGAAAAACTATGATTTATTTACGACTGATTATAAACACACCTTAAAACACGTCACTTGCTGTTGCCTCTCATAAAATCCACATGGAGCTGGTAGAAACGACACAGACAATAAAACTATATGTTGGTGCTAATAAGTTTAGATTTCCGGCAATCATTATTTGATAGCTCAATCTACACGTTTGTAGTTTCTCTTTCCAAAGGGCCCATATTTCAAACCAAGCCAATGTAATTATGCAGTTTGCAATCTTCAGAGGCCCAAAATATTACAGCATAATTCAATAAATCCTCTCAGTCTCTTGCCAGCACTTATTGAAATAGGCACAAACAATAAATAGCTCACCAACATGCAAATGAGTCTCTAGCGAATGATCAGAGAAGTAAACAATCTTTTTACTGCTCCAATTAATATGCATTATCATGACAATCTCCTCTGTTCTGCTATCTAAACTGAATCAGCCCATGTGCCTGGGAGTACGCTGGGGTTACTGCAGGAAATCAAGCCTACCCCAGGTCACGTGTCACAGCATCCACAAGCCAAAAAGTGAATTCTGTACAGTCCAATCTAGGTAACACAATGCTAAAAGGCTGGAGAAGGGCCCAGGCAACAGATTTAGCTATAAAACTGCTCCGTGGTGCGCTGCCAGGGTGAAAAATATGGCCGTTCTTCAAGTCTAGTGACAAAGCAGTTATGGTCCTTAATAAAAACACAGCTCTGCAACAGTCCATCGGATGGTAGTGGATAAACTGGGGCTCAGAAACAAAAGGAAGGCAGCTACAGAGACAATGAGGAGATTGTGTGGCGGATGAACACAGAGGATAAGGGGGGCCTCTTGTGCGCTGTCAGAACATAAGTGTGCGTGCTCACAGTGGTAGTGATGAGGGCTGTGGAGGAACAAGAGGGAAAAAGCATCAGCGCGACTGCGGGCACTGGGCGGCGAGGCTACAATGAATGTTTGAAATGATTAAAAATAAAACTGCTGAGAGCAGAAGGGGCTTTTGAGAGTGGTCGAAGCAAAAGTGGTGGTTATTTTTCACAAAGGAAATGTCCATAATGAAAGCAGAGTGATGTGAAAGAATGTTTTATAATTGACAATCCACTCAAAATAATCCAATTTATATGGTGGATTAAAAGTACTTGTTCAAGAAGGCTCCAAATGGTGACGCAGTGGTTAGAGCTGTCGCCTCTCAGCAAGAAGGTCCTCTGTTGGACTCACAGGTCAGAGGTGACGAGGTGCTGTGCTGTGTTTTGTGACTAAAAATCTGGCTTGAATTCAATAAACATTGCCCTCACTAGAAGAGTGGTGGGCAAACCCCGGGCCGTGGGGATATATAGATAAAAATGTACATTCGTGCGTAAAATTAAGCCTGAGAAAAACATGATAAATCACGTCCGGCCTCCAACAGCAGGATGATATTTCAATGTGGCCCTCAGGAAGAAAGGTTTGTCTGTGCCCTCACTAGAAGATATAAGTAAGGGTGTAGACTTTTGTCTTGTCCTAAAGTCTAATCAAGATGATGCGTCTGTACGTTTTGCAGCATTTGAATGCCACATTTGTAAAATGCTTGTTGTCTCCTTGTCTGATATGTGCTGTAGATATGTATGCAATGTTCTAAAGTTTACTTTTTCTTAACTAATGTGTTTTTTTATCTACCTACAGTAGAGATGGAGACACCTCCAGTGGAAGTGGAAGACTACATTTGAGAACTGGTTGGCATGTTCTTTTCATGTCTGCTGTGGTTTCCACCACATGCTCCAAAACACTAAAACATGTACAATGTAACAACGGTTGAAAACAAGCCTTCAGCTACTACTGTAAATACTGTAACAAGATCGTTAGTAATACACACTGCCGCATTCAAATAAATCCAACATTATAGTAGAGTATAGTATACTGGAGAATATTTACTAGTACAACACAATCTTATATCACGATTGAGTCAAGAGTCTAATCAATGGCTCAGCAGAGAGACAAAGCTGTGTAGTAGGTGCAGATTTCATGTAATGTGTGTGGAGTGTGCACCTTCTTGATGCGGGCGTAGTCGATGAGGCGGGCATAGGCGCTGGTGCCAGCGATGATGAGCCTGGGCCGGAACAGCTTGGCCGTCATCTCCATCTGCTCATAGTCTATAAGTCCTGTAGAGGGCTGAGAGTGGAGGGCGGGGCAGAGAAACAGTCAAGATCACGATCAGAACAGAAGACACTTTTCAAATACTACTGCTGTTATGTGGCAGTAGTGTGAAGAGCCACATAACAGCTTTTTATTCAAAATATCTCAATGGACTGTTTGAAACAAAAGTTTGAGCACATCTATTTCCATTAGTTTGTACAATTAAGTGGTACAAAATACAGGCGATAGAACATACCAAAACAACATGAAAGTACATTTTTACAAAATAAAAGATCCCCCACACAAAGGAGAGAAAATAGAAAACCAAGGCCTCAACAAAAGGAGCAGAGAAGATACATAGAGAGAAGCTTTATTTGGACAAGCTGATAATCTCCCATCTCTGGGACACTTCTGTAGCTGCCCCCTCACTCCATCACGCTGCTCGTGGCCAGGACAGAGCCAGTGGTGCTGGCCAGCCTGTCGATTTCCCATTATCCCTCTCACAGAGGGGTCCTGCCTGACCATACATCAGCAGGCCTGGACATCCCCACTCTCACAGTCATCCATCAGCCACTACCAACACTTGAGCTCCGAGATGACTGCAGCGATAAAATACTAGGCTCTGATGTACTGCGCCCTCTTCATCTCCATACTTGCATAATGTGTGTTCTTTTAGTACATACCGTTTAGGCCTACTAATGTTTAACCATGTTAGATGCTTGATAAAAAGGTGGCCCACAGTGTTTTGTTTCATACATATAATGGAAGCATTTAATATTGGTTAAAAACTGAGTTTAAAGCTTATATGAGTGGTTTTAGTAGAAATACATTTACATTGCCGACTAATGCTCAGTATAGCCCAAACATTAAAGTATATTTGTACTCACGCTCAACTTGTAAGGCATGGACTCAAAATAAATCGAGGTCGCAGAGATTCTCTTTACATCAGACATATACCCATGGGTTAGACTGGAAACAAAAAGAATGTACTGTCAATTACAATAACGCATATTTCACTTAAGTAATCAAAAGCCTGAGTACTGACTGTCCTCCATCCGGCAGGTCCAGGCCCATGATGCGGTCGTGGGGGTTGAGCACAGAGGTGTAGACGGCAAAGTTGGCCGGAGAGCCAGAGTACGGCTGCACATTGACTCCCCACTTAGCAGGGTCCAAGTGAAATGCCTCCAAGGCTCGTTTCTGACAAAGCAGCTCGATCTGGTCCACCACCTCAGCTCCACCGTAGTACCTGCAGAGGGGGGGTGAGAGGGAAAGCTCCATGTAAAAGCGGGATAATGCTGAAGGTAAAGCAAGGTTTTCCATTTTTCCACTTATTGTTAGGTTAAACATTGTATACACTAGCCATCTTTGTTGAGCAGATTTAACCCTGATGTGGCCATTTTTAAAGTAATACATTCAAAAAAATGTATTCACAAACTTGGGAATCTGCTGGTGTTTGCTAGCAACTGGTTAGAATGACTGCTTAGAACACCTGGAACGATGAACATTTTTAAAAGTAAATAAATGTGTGGAGAGGTCCTTCCTCAAGTGGAGGAGTTAAAGTATCTCGGAGTCTGGTTCATGAGTAAGAGAAGGATGGAGCGTGGAATTTATGGATCGGAGAGACCGCTTGTATGATGACATTACGGATACAAGTGGTCAAAATGAGTTTCCTCAGCAGAGTGGCTGGGCGCTCCTTTAGAGATAGGGAGAAGAGCTCACACAGGAGAAGCTCGCACTAGAGCCACCGTTTCTCCACGTTGGGAGGAGCCAGTTGAGGTGGCTCGGGCATCTGTTTCAGATGTCCCACCAGGAGGAGACACGAGGGAAGACCCAGGATATGCTGGAGGGACTACGTCTCTCAGTTAGCCTGGGAACACCTCAGGATTCCCCCTGGATGAGCTGGAAAAAGTGTGTGTGGTTAGGGAAGCCTGGGTGTCTCTGCTTAGCCCCTAAGGCCTGGCAACGGATAAAGCAGAAGAAAAATTGATGGACTAAAAGTAAATAGAAAAGTCAGGAATAATTTTGACAAGCTTTAAAAATAACTAGTTAATTTGGACCAATGAGGCAACTTACAAAACTATGACCAGCGCTTAAGATGCACCTCCTGTGACTTGATGCACTAAAATATTACAAATGAACAAGCATTGAAGAAGGTGCCGTTCGTCTGGAGTTTCAAATGAAATCTCAAAATCCACATTGTTCGACACTGCTGCTTTCTGTAGAATTAGTATTCTTTGCTTCCCACTGGTTACTGTTGATAAATTGAAATGATCTAAGGGACGAAACAAAACATGTAAGGGATGAAGCCAGGCTGGTGAGAGCCTTTGAATGTATCCCCTTAGGATGCGTGTTTGGCAAAGCTTGGTGCTGAATAATTTCTGTGTGATTTGAATGTACCATTAAAAGAACGTGGAATAAATGTAAATGTCCAGGAGTAGACAGGCACCAGTGTTTGATAGGCTCGGGGCGTGTCTGCTCACCTTCTCCCTGGGTAACCCTCTGAATATTTGTTGTTCAGACAGGAGCCCTGAGCCTCCAGAGCGGCACGACTGCAGAAGTTCTGTATGAAAAAAACCCAAAAACTTAGATCAATGAAGCCAGAGGACCAGGGTGACAAGAGGGCAAAATTAAAGTCTGTTTAGTGACGGGAAAGAAATGGTCCTCACAGACCAATGATAGCTATAGCAGAAATCAAATGACAAGCCTTTCTTTTCTATGCTTGTTCTTCCATATACATTTCCCCCTTCCCCTTGTTTGAAAACATGTCTTGGTGTTGACACAAGTTATGCAATTTAACACTTAAGAGAGTAGCTACACCAGTAGATCACCATCATGATACAGATAGGAATCTAAAATATGTATGTAATAAATTGGATTTATATTACAAATTACATTTCCTTAAAACAGCTCAAGAGATTCATTGAAACAGTCCGTATACTGCAGGTCATGCTAACAGGCAGACACTTGTAGGAAATGTCCAACAGGTGAAATAAAGCTCTCAGCTCTATCTGCCAGTGCAGTGCTCAGCCTTTGTGCTGCTGATAAACGCTACAGCTGTGATAAGCCCGAGCTCAGAGCGGGAGTAGAATGCCTTTACACCTCAGCCAAAAAGAAGAAATAAACAAGTAGAATTTTTGTTCTGCTGTTGAACCCACAGGGTTGAATAATAAAAATCAAGGTCAATATCCTTTTGTTTTTTAAAATCCAAAGTTCATGGGCCAATGTTCCAGTTATATCATAGCCGTTTGTTTGAGGTGAAAAGTCCACTTAAGTTCTAATGAACTTCTGTGTTTTTTGAGAATGAAAACATGGCAATAATAATAATAATAATAATAAATATATATATATATATATATATAAATAATGAGCTGGGTAAAGAGCTAAGGAAAAGTTTATTAGACACAAAAAGATTTCTATGAAAATGTTTGGCATTCCTTCATGTGTGATAGTGTAATAATGGAATGACTAAAGCAGTAAGAGGATAGTTATGATCATTGGCACCTCAGATGCGATGAGCTCCAGGCCACGGCACTGTCGGTCCTTCTCCTTCAGCAGCAGGTCCCACATCTCTGGGTCATCGTCAGCCAGACTGTCCTGTCCTGTCCAGGGCCGCTCTTCCTCCACGGAGCGTGTGGCTGCGTGTTGTCCACGTGCACACAGACGCACCGGCGCTCGCTGGACCAGGGGCTACAAGAGATCAACAGGTGGGAATTAACGTTGATTATTTAGAATAACTTCTTGTCAATTCATACCAATTAAATTGGCTCAAAATAACAGTAACAGTTAGAAAATAAAATAATTCGCAATATTAAAAATTGCAGGGGCTCAAGTTAATTCAAAGTTCTTGAAATTAAATCAACTAAAACGTAATGGAATATGCTACAAAAATAAAGTATTTAAGCCTTGTACTCTCATCAACTTTTCATCCCTCTTAATGTCAAGCCTGCTCTAATTAGAAACTGGCATGTTTGCATGGTATCAATAATCAGCAGTTGTTCAATTATGCTTCTATCAGCAGTTGTGCAAAGGGACTTTACAGCCTCCGTGTACAGACCGCGGCACAGAGAGAACACATTCAGCACTTCCTGCTTATCTAATCTGGACTGAGGCTGCCAACTTCTGCTGCACCGCCTCGTCATGCAAGTGAGCGGAGTCCACAATTCTAATTGCTTAACACTGGTTTAACAAACGTATTGCCACCAACTTAGTTTTGGCTATGTACCCGATGAAATTGTTCTGTGTTTGCGGCATGCAATGTTTGATGTTGAAAATAAACAAGAGAATGCCTCCCTCAGCTGCTCAGGTAGCAAAAGGAGTGTGTATGGCATATAGCATGTTCTTCAACCTGGGAATGAAGTACAACAAATATTTCTCAAAATATTGCATAATATGCAAGTGGCCCAACATTACAGGACATGAGAAACTAAAAGGACTCTTGTCCCGTGTCAATGTTAGGGGGGAAAAAGGTAACGATATTTTGCTTGTACATAAACTACAACAGCACAATAAAAATAGAAAATGCAGCACCATTTGCATGGACTCTGCTGCAAACAAAACTTGGATTCAAGGAACTGACTTCGCTGTACTCCTTTAAGAGACGGCTGAATGCTTTAGATGAACAGTCTGCACATTGTACTTGTTTTACATTAAATATTTCTTATTGTTAGTGTTTTATGAGTTTTATTTGATGTGAATGCTTTCATGTGTTATCTCAATCTTTTAGCTTGTATTTCTTTAAGATTTAAAATGTATGTTGAATGTGTTGCCTCTTGTCCAGGACACTCTTGAAAATGAGGTTATCAATCTCAATGAGGTTCTCCTGATTAAATAGAAAAAATAGTATTTAAATACAAAAACACCAAACTCCACCAAACTCTGTAGACAACTGTGTGGGACAGAGTTTATCGGCCTAATCTCAATGGCCCTCGGGGCGTGCGGGGGACAGGGCTGACACTGGCCCAGATGAGTGGCACATTTACAGCCTGATTGTAACAGTGGCTTCAACCACTGCAGGAGGAGGCTGGAGAGGCTGGAGGCCCTTTGGGGGACTGCGGAAATGAGGGCCCTGGGAGACAGGCTGGGCTGCCTCGGAGGACACTCTTCTCCCTGTGAAATCACATGGGTCATTAAGTCTTGACGGGAACTGTCCTTGGCTGTCTTTGTTTCGGTGGGACACACTGGGGAGGAACAACAGTGCCTGCTCTGCCACCTTCACTAAAACAGACAGCGACTCTCCTCCTCGTCCTGCACCGCTACACCTTTATCAGCACTTTCAGTTCCCTGTAACAACAACAGTTCAGAGCTTTTTTATTTTTCGCCTTGACATCAATATCACCCCTGCGTGCCAAACGCCCGCCTGGCGCTTAAATAAAGACCACGCACAGGTCTCTGCGGCGCTCCCCTCTGCTCACCTGCCTGCATCATTACCAAAGATTAATTAACAATCACAAGGAACTGATCTAACGAAAGCAGAGCCAAGACAGAAGCGTCAAATCTGTCTCAGCGGGACTATTTTTAGGCGGAAGATTAGGCTGTCGTCTGAAGGTGAGTTGTGATGAAAAGGTAGCAATGAGGAAGGGGGCGGGCAAAGTCACATCCACCTGGGCCCTTGCTCCCGGTAATGGCGGCCTCACAGATGTACTGCCTCTGCCACAATGAGGAGGTAATTGTTGGCAGTGTGCTTCTCCTGTCAAAACACCACAACTCAAAAGAACAATAGCAGAAGACGACGAGGGGTGAACAAAGAAAAATCATTTCATTAATCCTCCTAGAGCCCATTTCCTCCACAGCTCCCGAGGTGAGTCTATTTTACAGATGACTGCTGTCCATCAGTGGCCTTAATAAACAACAATCAGAAAAGAGATAGACTTTAAACAAGAAAAGGCAAGAGAGCAGGAAGTGGAGCGAGCAGCAGCATCTGTCAGTCGGACATGCATCCGCCTCAGTCTCTGTCATGGGGTAATGGCAGCGCGGGCAGTTATAAATTGCCCTGTGATTCAGTCTTGACGACACTGGGCTGAGGTGAACAGAAGTGAAGACCCCAGACACAGTGTGGGTCAGCGGGTGCCAATGTAGTGACCACGGCAAGCTTAAAGACCAGGGCGTTTTCTCTTCTACATTTTACTGTACAATCCACCCCTAAATACGGGGAACTTTCAATTAGATACACTTTGATAGGATTTGCTTGGAACTATATCATAACAAATGGCTCTACCCCATATTAGCAAAAAAATAAAATAATTAATCTTTCCTTCATTGAAGATTGATTGTTGAAAAGCCTCAACCTCTTGCATTTGTTTGCAATGTCAGAGTGTCCATTAAAAAAATAATAATTGTAAAATATAAAAATATCAAATAAATACTTGATTTTGTATTACATGTAAATACTAACAAATATACTAATATATCAAAAAATAAATAGATTTATTAGCACGCCCCAGACTGAGCTTGCTAAAATAAAATAACACATTGATTGACCTTAAATGAAATGGCAGGAATTATGAAGACTTCTGATCACACAAGGATCCATTTCTCTTGTATTTTGAGGAAATGTTGACATTTCCGTTGCTTAACTGTGAGTTTACACTGACTGTGAGCCAGGGCCTGGTTTGACCCCCATCGCTCTCGTCAAATATACACAGCAGTTTGTGTAACACGCAGCTCATCAAACCTGCAAAATATTTGTGACAAATGTTCCCCAAGAAAGTACACACCATTGGGGTAGAGGATTTCAAATATGAGGTTAAAATATGAACCAGTCTCCCTGAAAATGTGCGGCTGGCTTCTACTTGGACTATGTTCAAATCCAGGTTGAGCTGTGCATACAAATGAAGGACTGTATATTACTTCTTTTTAAAGCACTGAGTATTTATGATTTTTTATGAGTATGATGATTTTGTTTTGTTAAGCACTAGGAGTTGCCTTGCTTTGCCTTTATCACTCGAGCTGCAACACAACGTTTTCACTAAAGCAAAAGTCTTGTGAGTCTGCTGGAAGTAAATTAAAATGCACTGAAAACCAATCAGCACCAATAAGAAAAGCGTGCAGACATGAGACCAAGTGTCTCTCACACACACGCAGAGTCCAAGCTTGACTTGCAAAACTAGGACTGACTACATGCCACTGGGGTTTCATAAAAATGGGTCACATCAACTTCAGAAAATTAGGGTATAAATAAAAGTTACAAATATGGCCTGAAAACTCCAGACGGCCGACGACACAAATGTGTCATGAAAATCTCATTCTTGAACAACATCATGAAGATGAAAAGACATATTTCCAGAAGACAAAATTAAACATTACATTGGCTTCATCCTGTGTGAAATTACAACTAGAAAGAGTCAGTCACTGTGTACCAGGAGCTAATTAAGTTAAGATAAAATAATAAAACTGCGGCTCAGTGGGTACCTCATTTTCAAACCACAAGATTTAACTGAAGCAAAATAAAAAACCGTTTGGTTCAATCCCTAGTATTATTTACATCCATGTATCTGTCACATCTTTAGATCAGCTTTTTCAGACAGAAGTGAAGAGGAAAGGACCACCCTCACTCAGCCAATCAGATACAATGGTTGTTTTGGGACAAACAAAATTCTTTTGCGGCATCATAGGCGCAGTGGTTAGCCTTTGGGCTTCTCAGAAAAAAAAGGTCCTGGGTTCGAATCCTAGACAGAACAGGATCTTTCTGAGCGGAGTTTGAATGTTTTCCTCATGTCTGTAGGTTTCCTCTGGGTGCTCCGGTTTCCCCTATCACTAAAAACATGTATGACACGCCTGAACGTAATGTGTGTGTGTACGGATAGTGATGATGGCGGAAAAGTGCCTTGTGTGAAATGCCCTTTATTAATAAAAGACTAGTTAGTTACTTACTATAAAGTAAAGTATACTTTCCCATTACTATGACGGGGTTTAAGGCTACAGGGCCAACCAAGGGCACCTCAGCTTTGTTAGCAGCAAGATTGAAAAACACTACATTGGTTTTGTGTTGACAAGGAGGATTGGAAACTGAATATAGATATAGTGTTGATTAAAGTTAACTTAGAATTGTCTTGTTGTTAAACTTTCCCCATGTCTACAAAGCTTATTTAATTACAAATGTTACATGATTATTAATAATGCAGTAGTCACTGTCAGTCCATATGAAGGGGCAAGAAGATTATGTTTTGTAATAATACCCTAATTACTTCTTATAGGACAGAAACGATTTAAGAAATACACACTTGTAATTATGAAACTGCTGCCGATTAAACGCCTGGGGTATAACATTAAATTATATAAGAACGCTAATGCAGAAGACCGGTTTGTGATCTGGTTCTGCATTCATGATGAAACTGAGCAGGCACTGTTGCATCATTGCACGGACCCAGCTCAGCTCCGCTCTGTGGCATGGATCTGCAGGAGCTTTAGCTTTAGCACACAAGCTAACATAACAACACGCGTTTCAATGGCACAACACTCAAGGAAAGACATGAGATCCTTTTCAACTAAAAACATAATCACGTAATGGTGTTAGTAATATTCCCCAGTCGCTGTTATTGAGACAGCTTCAGTCAATATGAAGGCTTCTTCCTTGTTCCAGCTAGCAAGCCTTCTTTAAACAGCTGTCTTCCTTGCCCAACACAAGTCAACATTTACAAAGGGATTTCTGTTTTCTCACACGCTACTCACCCGTGTAATGTGTCTGAGCGTGAGGGTCAGCATGTTTGCAGCTGTCAGACCAGAGTAGATTGAGCCACGACACCAGCGCGGTCACTGCAGCATGGAGAAGTGCAGCGAGGCCACACCCCCCGGAGCGAGGCAGTATGGGATATGTAGTCCGACGATTATGACAGCACAACCGTGATTCGTTGAAGAGAAAAGATTGAATTTTATTGTCTGTGTCATGCTAACTATAACTCTGTAAGTAAATGGCAGAAAATAAAATAGAAGTTTCTTGAAATTGGACCATTTTTATTTTTATTCTTAATCTTATCATTTCTTTCTTCTTCTTCTTCTTCGTGTGCATTTTCGGCAGGCTAGACGCCGCTAGGCGTATTGCTGCCTTCCACAGTCAGTCAGTGGAACTGCATCAAGGGAAAATCTTCACATGAAGATTAGTGGAAGAAATAAACTCCATCACAGCAGCAATGATCTCACGCCGATTTGTCTGTGGATTGAGCAGGGTCTTCAATGACACACTGTCAACCCCCGTTCCCAGCACAACTTTAAACATTTGGCATCGCTCCTGCTTGTAGCATACACACTCCATTAGTACATGACGAACAGTCTCTTCTTTCCCGCCGCACTCACAAAGTCCATTTGGTCTCTTTCCCATAAGAACAAGATCTGGGGCAAACCCACAGTGTCCCAGTCTGAGTCTTGTATATATTACTTGCTCCCTTCTCTTATCATTTCTTTATTGCACACAAGATACCCTATATATTTTTCACTTTTAAATATGTTTGCACATTGTCTGTCTTTTTGCACACCCAGAGTGACCAGTTCAGTGTAATCTTATCTTATCCACATTTTAACTTTACCTTAATGGATTTTATTTTAAATGAGAAGTTACTTTTTATAATGCTTTCATTGGGAATCCTAATTAAGAGAAATGTTTTTTTTTTTTTGCAGTATATCCAATTTTATTCCTGAAAAATTGGTTATATAGTTAAGATCACTTCAAACTTTATTATGTTAAAATCCGTCGTAATCATATTTGCATTTTTGAGAGAAATGTTTGGAACAATGCAATAAAATGATGATAAAACATAAATAAATACTGAGCAATTCTGATCTCACAAAAATATAATATAATGTGTTATAATGAGTTTTTCCTGGCCAATGCAGGAGGGTCTGTTGGGCAGTTAGTTTAGTGTCTAACTAGAAGGACTGTGGTGATGATCCAGGACACTTTAAGATTCTAGAACATGTATGGACATTTATCAACATGTGTTCTATATTCTTTATCTGTTTTAACTGTTGATTCTCTGATCTGTGTTGGTGATTTCAATGGTTTTGTTAAGTCCTCTGAGATGACTTCTGCTGTGATTGAGGCTATACAAGAATAAATTGTGTTGTATTGTATTTGTAATGTCATGAATTTATACCTCATAAAAAATGATAGGGTAATCCGCTTTAGTGGCAGTTGGTATACAGTATGTATGTTTCAATATTATTATTATTTTTAATTTTTTACTTGAGCTAAATCATTTTTTCATTAAGATCGTTTTGATACACTCCATCCTCTTCCATCCTCTGCCATCACCATTCAAGTATCTCACAAAAATACATGTGTGTAATGTGTTGTACGTCTTTAATAGAACCTTTTCACATCAGTTGAATGATGTTGTTTATACATATATCACGTTAATGCTCTGGCCTCTGATGCCTTTTCATTAATAATGTAAACAAGGGTGAATCCTCAAGAACTCTAATGAACTCTAACACCAATCCAAAAACAGAAGATTGGTGAAAGGAAAGACCACAACGCTCAATTTTTCAATCTTCTCTTATAAGATTATTTTGGACCCAGCCTGGATGTCATTGATCAACAGCATAATAGGCTATTGAGCCAGAGGAAGATGAAGATTCAATTAACATCGACTGTGTGTTTTCTAACGTAATTCTGTGACCATTAGAGTCAGGTTGAGGAGAGAAAAGAGAAGCACTTACACGACCTGGACATATGGGTCTGAAGGTGCACTGAAATGAGACACGTTTTGAATACTGGCATAATTGGCATCAAGCATTTCACTTGAAAATGCTTTGATTTTACAATTCATTTGAACATGTATTAATTGCATGTACAAATGGGAAAACTGCCACTCAGTTCTCTCTCTTTTTCTTTCCGCAATTCCGGTTCAAATGTGACAAAAGCAGAGCCCTTGAAATTGTCTATTACTCTACTTGTTTTTGTAAAGAATGTATAATCATAAAGAATTGTGTGGCTCTGAATGGACAGGAACATGAAATGGCTTCAACCTTCCATTTGTGAATACTTCATTTTCTCGAGAGCTGAATTTGTAGGAGGAGCACAGTTTTTATGCCACCACTTTTAACTAAATTAACATCTGACAATGTTTTGGAAAATTATATCTTTGTGAAGACATGGTATAAGAAATGGTTGAATGTAATGTGCATTCTTAGTGGTTTAGTAAAGTCACTGAAATTACAATTACAATCTATGACACATGTAGCTACTGAGCTCTATACTGATGCAAACTACCTGCTGGGATTTAGCTGGAAACTCTGTGATTAGTATTGACTACCTATAGTAGTCAATACTATATGTGTCGTACATGTGTGCATTGTGTGAATTTTCTTTAGCATATTTTGTGTTTGTACTTCCATTTCTTGTCAACATGATATTGATGATTACATTGACCATTGGCTACACACATTCAGCACCTCTGTTAGAATAGAATTGGTCCAGGTCGGTCGAACCCTAGTACAAATTGGAAACCTCAAACGTAAAATGATGCATTACCTCTGCTGACCGTGCAAGCAAAGCCAATCAAACTGTTGTGCATATCGTTTACACACAGATTGATAAGAAATTTGATATTATTATTAGCACAAGACAGTTTCTCTATTGTGTCTAAAAATGCTGTTAATATAAAACAATCTTCTTAAATTCAGACAATGGCTCATTCAATCCAACATATTTTGTATGTTTATTTGTCTCCTATTACCTCCCAATACCTGGATTTCCACACTAAATCTGTCTTGGATAGCTCTGTGGTTTAAAACAAACTGAAGGACATTGTGTGTCTTAAAAGTGAAAACACCCACTCGTTTTTGAGAAAATTAAACTGACGTATCTTCACAGAAAGCCTGGGCAAGAATTTCTAATCAGCCTGAAATGTAGCTTCATTTCTAGTGATAACACATGAAAACTGCACATTCTCTGGGCACTAAAGAAGAACGTCCCAACACAGCAAAGAAACAGACGGTTTAGAGGATTTTAATGTGCTTTTTCATACAGTATATTGTATGCATATCCAGCATAGCATTTCTCATACATATATCCTTCTTATGTCCAGGATTTTAGTAACATGAAAGAGAGTCAACGTTTGCCTTTGTCAACGTACTTTATCAGGCCAGAGGTCTCGTCAGGGAATAAGACAAATATTAACTTTTGGGATGAGAATCTAAAAGGCATAAGTGACATTTAGAGCAAAACATTAGAGAGTTATCTGATTCTGACGGTGTTTTGAATAGTCCATAACATCATCTCTATTCAAAGCTCACGATTCTTTTTATCTTCACTGCCTGACAATATCTGCTGGTAATCCAGAAGTGCTAAAGCAGTTCACCTACTTTGATGTGTGAAACCGTTGTTTATACCCATTGTTGCAAAACTGACATTTTCTCCGCTGTTCTTTTGAAGAAATAAATACAGTGATTATATTTTGTATATTGTTTATGCTATAATTTCACTTGTTGCTTTACAAGTGCATTTATCCTTATTTTTCCAGCAGTGTGAGCCATGTGCCATTGTACAAAGTTATAAGGTGTTTGATGTTGAGTGGAAAACTGGCTGGGTTTACAAATCTGAAATATATTGCACATAAGATGGGGCCGACAACAAAACTGTATTGTGTAGTCTTTGTCTACATTACAGCTGCTATTGCCATTGTCACTTGTGCGCTTTACATTCTTGCCCCCTGACTGTGCTGAGGGTGATTACAATATTTACATAAATAAATCGAAACAAAACAGATACAAAGTTTGGGGAAGATGTTGTCACTCATTCAGTATCTCATCCATATCTGGGAGTATATATTTTTTTATTTAAATCGACAATTTACAGCAGTTTTGGAGAAGCAGATATAACCGTCCACTGCTTCTTCAACACCGTCCATTGTCTATAATACTTCTGTCCATTCCAGTCCCGTCATTATCCAAAGTAAGGGTGTTCGCTTTGAAAGTTGTAGTCCGGACACACTTTTTGAACCAGCTTGTAGTCGATGCTGAAGAAGGAGATGAAGATGCAGATGACTTTGAAGGGTTTTGCACACAGCCAGGCGGCATGGGACTGGGTGTGCTCCGTGAAGCAGGTCTGCGAGGGGTCATACAGGCACGGTTTGGGCTTCTTGGATCTGTTGGTCTTTTCGTACTCCACTCGGCAGTTGAACGTTTTCACTTCTTTGGGGTCGACGGTGGATTGCTGTGTCTCGTGAATCTGGACTTCTTGTTGGGTGTGTGGATGCAAGTGCTGCTGTGGTATGACTTCAAACTCCACCACTTTGGTTGGGGGAACGATGCTAACCGAGACATTGCCGAGACTGGACGAATTGTGACGAAAGTACACCGTGAATGTGCCGTTGATGTGATCCACGATTTTGCCCGTGACCAAGAGGCTGAATTTCATGGTCTTGACGTTGAAGTAGAAATCCCCCCAACCAAAGATTTTTTTGGTCTTCATGGCGGTCTTTAGCGAGGGTTTGCGCTTGGAGCGGTAGCCTGTCTGGTCTAGTAGCAGAGACTGGTTCCTGCCGTCGTATGGGTTGTAGAAGTTGTACGTAGGGGGCTTGGTCTTCATGGGGGTCTGGTCTATGGAGGTGGAGAAGACTCTTGTTTGATACGGAGGCTTGACCACACCCCCTGCTGCCCCTCCCACGGCTCCATACGGAAGTGTTTTCATCACTGAACCCCCAGGACCCAGGTCTGAGAAATCCACCTGCTTCTCCAGCCCTTGGACCTAGAACAAGAAAAAGCAAAGAAAGAAAGGAATCAATGAATGAGACAAGGTACTGTGTCCTTCAAAAAGCAGGTTAACATTCATCTAGGAGTGATCCATAGCAGAAAAGATTCAAACATAAAATCTGAAAGGAAAACATAAAAAACTAAATTTAAAGAGTGAGCTTTGTCCCTACCCTAATTTAAAAACTTTTGGCATGAATCTCACTACATCTCAAAATCAGCAACCATCTCCTCAATTTTAAAGTAACTTCTGGATGAGAGGTCAAACATGTCAAAGCTGAAAACATAGTCCAGTTGAAAACCTTTGAAACTATTTAACAAATAATTGTATTCAAGTTTTCCCAAGAGTCCTGGTTACTGGTCAAATCGGCACAGACTCAAAGAAAGAATGTATTAGATTGAGCTTTATTGAGTTACAGTAAGTAATTTGGTTGCTGCATGATCATGATTGGAATGTTGACTCAGCAGGCACATGGTAGATAATGATATTCATTGACATAATGCTTTTACATGCATAATGGCCCGTACCAGCGTATGGCATATGGTTTGGAATTTGGACCATAGCATGATACATATGCAATATGTCTGCCACCACCCCTGGTACAGATCATGGTGGTAAGTGGAAGCTGAAGTGATGAGCATATGACATGGAGATACAGTAACTACTACTGTTGAGGTGTTGACGGGGAGGAGGAAGGTTATGGCACGAGCTGAAGCGAAGAAATTGCATCAATACACAGGTGCAAGCTGAAGTCAATTGGTGATTGACAGAAGCACAGGTGTGTAAGGCAAGGCAAGGCAAGTTTATTTATATAGCACAATTCATACACAAGGCAATTCGAAGTGCTGAACAAAATAAGAAAGCATTAAAATCATAAATAATCACAGAACATTAAAAAGAAAGCTAAAAATATAAAATCCCTCAGTTGTATGCACAGCTACAACTGAGGGATTGTTCTTCTTCTCTTGTGTAAGAGAACATGGAGTCATTGATGGGAAACTGAGAAATCTAGTAGAATCGTATATGATTTTGTTTCACCTCAAAACACCGATGTGAAGTTAGGATTAGGACGTTAATGAAACAAAACAAAAAAACACTGTCTATCATCAGCACACACAAAGGACCGGGAACATGGGTCTTTAATTGCTAAAATGACTAAGAGATACTACAGATTTCTCCATCCCATTTTCCGTCACCCCTTTATCATGTAAATCACCCTATGTGCTGTATTATACTACACACTATCTGCTCAGCCTTTCAACAACAACAAAATCTGTTTACTCCTCAGATCTGAAGCTGGTGAAGTGTAAAACAACATACAGTACGTTAAGACAAGATAAAACAACCATTATTCATTCAACCATGAGGAAAATTCTGGTGTTGCAGCACACAAAACATACATACATACTGTACTATATCCCATGCAAATGCCTCTTTTATAGCTGACAATGCTTGATAATAAGTATAAATGAATGCCCATGTAGTTCCCTCTTTGTATGACTGAAGAATTATTTGGTCCATCAGTCCCTCCTGAAACTAAATGAGGAGCTTAAATCATAAATCGAAGAGTGCGTCTTAATATTTTAGTCCTGTACCTGTATGTGAACTGTGCAAAACAAAATTCGGACCCTTGTGTCTGACAATAAAGAATTTATCTATCTTTCTTGTATTTTCTCTTTGCATTTATTTATGTATTTTCTCTAATAGTGGGGATTTGATATTTGGGATAATAATTTAATGTCTGCATTTTTTTTAGTTTGGTTTGTATGAATATTGTTTGTCTATTATCTTATGTGACTGCCATAAAATCAAACCCTTTGTTATTTTTTCCCGAAATAAAAGGCATGCACAAACGAAACCATGTGTGTCATATTTGATATAGTAAGTCTATGTCCTCATGGCTGACGTTAGATATTATTCCCTCAGTTGTCTCTTCTGCAGCTCAGTTCTACGGGTCACTCGGCTGCAGAGGATCTTTTTACTACGAGCCTCGAGGCGGAATTGATGCTGCGTTTCATCTCTGGAAAACAAAACCATCTATTTTTGTTAACACACTTTAATTCTGTTGTCAGTGTTGCTCCGCAGTGCAAAACAAGTCAGCGCGTGAGCAAATGGATGTGCGGCTTTGTTTGAGGAGACAGCTATTCTGCCTTTAATACACAGGCGAGGTGGGTATGTGTCTTTCAGCTCTCATCCATCACATCAGTGCCTCGGTCCCACTCATATGCATATACATGTATCCGCACAAAGGCAGACACAGAGAGCTATTACAACTATTGGGAAGGGTTACGCGGTGTGTCGTCTCCTGAGAACGCTCTGGGAATGAAGTTTGAAAGTAGATTTCCAAAGTACAAAATGCATACAATCACCATGGGGAAAAAGGCAGGGATCTATCTACGTTTTTCATTCTCAAAATCCAGTGTACGTTTCAGTCAATACAATACAAGTATGCACATATATACTGTATACATTTTTGGTTAACACGTTTGTTATTGTTTTTCAACAAAGGAATACACACAAATACAAACAGAGTGCTGGTACAATAGATACATGGTTTGACGGATTGCCAAAACAATGGCTAAAACGTATCTTCTCCATATTTTATGTAAATGTTTGGGGCTTTTTTGTTTATTGAATACAAAAACAAAAACAAACTAAATTACATGTTAGGTTATTTTGTTTGTTTGCTCACAAAATATACACATAATATATAAAGAAACAATTATCCTGCTTGAATGTAGTTCTGTCACTGTTAGATTTTGGTCAAAACAATTAGTTCTCTAGCAATATATTTGGCTCCAACACTTGACGGTTTGCATCTCTGGCCCCATCACTCACCAAGAGGTGAAGTGCCCAAGGCAAAAGCCCTGGTCAGAGCTGGGACTGATAACCTTTGGGTGGGTTGGTGAAAATCCACTCAGCAACAGCTGTGGCTTCTTCTTCTTTATCTGAATGTGATGATTTGTCTTTTGTTTTTCATTTAAAGTACAGTATTCCTTTTTGTAATGTGAAATTAGAAATTCAAACCATGGTCAATGAAGGCAAGCAGATCATCTTTTTTCAGTCCATAAGAAAAAGTTATATTTATTGCAACTGCTGCAAAACACATATGATCAAAAATAGTGCAGTTCTCAATTGTGTTGAGCAAGGGGAAAATCAAATGTTCTGTCCCTTTTCTCCTTATCTGTGGAAGCAGGTCTGGCCCTCATTGGAGTCATCAATCAGTGACGCAAATCAAAAGTCTGTATTTGTCAAAGCAATGGCACAGAATTCAATATAGCTGCTAATGTCTACAGCCTTTCAATTAATGTATCTATTTCTGCTGGCTATTCATTAACAGAGCTCCCTCCTAAGTGGATTGATTGAGGGCAGGATGAGCTAAAGTTTATTGACCGATGAATGAATGAATTACACAAAAAGAGAATAGCCTTGACGAATGACCAGTGACTGTGGAAATGGACCTTTCACACGCATTGAGATGCACAAAATTGCCTTTTTAGGCAAATTTCATCATGTTATTTGTCATAGAAAAGCCCATTAAATTGGTGAAGACAAAATAAAAATGAACATTTCAGAAGTTTGTCACCCAAAAAGCCTGGCCATTCTGAGTTGAGTTTGCATGTTCTTCTTGTGTCTGTGCAGGTTTTCTCTGGGTGCTCTGGTTTTCCTACATCCAAAAACTTGTCAGATTGGCTATATCCATGAGGCTCTTTAGGTTTAGAAAGGCATGGTTTATGTGTTTGTTTTTGGATTTGCCAGTTTATATTCAGTCCATTTTAAGATGGTGTAGTCTTTGATCTTTTCTTTGTGTGATCTAAACGCATTAGAATGAGATGTTCTTAAGAGTGTGTAATGACACTCGAAAGGGCCAGGCACACCGATACCCGAGAGAGGACCTTTAAGCGCTGGGGGATCAAAGGTCATCTGTTGCTAATTATGACATCATGTCACTCTGGTACAAAAATAAAGCCTTTCGTTCATTGTTTGCATTTCCATCTTTACCCTGCTGAAGGAGACCCAGGTTATGAAGCTTAACCTGAAATGCATGAGTGCAACCACCACAGCAAAGTATCTACTGTTAAAGTCAATCAAATGTTGTAAATGAACTAATTACAGTCAATCATTGGTATTGTCATAAACAAGTGAATGGTCCCAACTGTTGTTTGGTTTTTATCGTCATGAGAGACTTTATTTCAAACTTTATCACTCATGAGAGAAATTAGCAGTTGTTACAAATTAAGACAACGATGTGAATGAAACACATTTAAACACAGCAACAATCTATGATGAGAATGCAGAAGAAAGTGACTTTGAATGTTTTTTGACAATAACAAAAAAAATAAAGATAACAATATAAAATAATTGACAATTCACATTAAAAGGTGCACGACCAATGGGACGACCAATGTCCATAAAAATGTCCTTAAATGTTCCTGAATCATCGTTGTCCTTAGACCTTCCTGCATCGGCAAGGAACGGACGAAGAAGAGAAAAAAGGAGGCCAGTCCACATGTGCAGATGAAACAGGCAGGGTTCCCATCATCCCGCCATGACACAAACAACAGGACAGAGGGTGAATAGCAATGAACAGACAACACAGGAAGTCAATATGATGACAGTAAGAAGAGGAGTGGAGAGTATAAAGTTACCGCACTTCTCCCAGCGGCATATGCGGCATGACTGACAATCTGTGTTTTTTGACTTAAGGTTTTATATCTAAGTCTTACCCACCGAACCATATGCTGAATTAATGACGAATGTTTTAAGCCTGGTCTTGAATCTAGAGACTGTGTCCGCTTCCCTGGATGGGGGAGCTGATTCCACAGTATAGGAGCTTGGTACCTAAACGCTCTGCCTCCTTCTGTGCTATTTGACACTCAAGTTTTATACTGAGCTACAAGCAAAGAAGCAACAACAACACCCCATCACACACACTTTTAAAAACAAAATGAGTGATACAAACTAGCCCATAGTAGCTGTTGAAGATTCTACCATCCCCTGGCTATCGTTTGGTGTCAAAACACAAACTCCAGGCTGTAGTTCTTGCAATTTTAACTATTGACGGTGCAAGCTGACTTGAGTGTTGAGCCAGCGTTGACAGCAAAAGAGAGAGAGAGAAAAAAAAACAAATCAGAATCCACACTACATCAAATGGAGTGAAATCAAGAGGGGGACTTCCTGCTAGTGCCATGTCAGCAGTGTTGTCAGCTCTCTCCATGTGTTACCATCTGTCAAAGTAGTACAACACGACCCTGGTGCAGTTTTAATCATGCTTTCTCCCACTGTAGCCCCATCATCATAATCCTCAGGCTTCTCTACAGCAACACTGCACCACGGACCTCCACTAACCCCGGGTCAAACGCACTTACATTGGACAGGTGTGCCTTTTGTGGGGGGGGAAAAACTGGCAACAACCTATAGTCAGCAACTTGAGCAAACATCGATTGAATGGGAAAAGATGAGCGCGAGAAGGGGCTAGAGAGTATTAAAATGCCAACACAAACCGATAAATAGACAGACTTTCTATTAGCATAAATATGACATTTTTTGTGCTTGACAGAAAATCCATTTCCTGGGTGAGGATTTGTTAGTGGAAATATCAGATATTTTTCCAGACATGAAATCCATAAGTTATAGAGCACAGATGTTGGCTATAAGGTCATTCGAGACAGACGTTGGGAGAAACCAATGTTCCAAGAATTTCTTCACCCTCAATGAGCCAATGTAGGTTTTATTTATTTATTTATTTGTATACAAATATAGATGAGAGCTGGATATTTCTTAACTTTAGTGTGTATGGTATTCTGTGATTTGATCTGAAAGGTGTAAATGAAAAGTGCTTTGAAGGGCCTGTTTCTCTGTCAGTAGAGAGTCTGTTTCTGTTTTGATATTTGGTATTACAAAAGCATTCTAATGCATAATTTGATATCATCACTCGACCTTCTGAGGAGCTTTTATCTAAAACCAGTGCATATTTTTGTTGAATTTAACCTTAGCCCAGCCTATTTCCAAATTATATTATATTTATTATGGTTAAAATTGATTGCCTCTTTTCGCCATGTTACTTCGTTTTTTACTTTAACTAGAAATATTGCCTGAGAATTGAACTTTTATTCTAAAATGTGCTTTAGAACATCATAGACAAAAATAATAGTTGGAAAGGGCTTTCAATTGGGAGGAAATTCATCTCAAAAACAGATTATAGTGTTGTAGTGTCAGCCCTGCATTTGGTAATTCCAAAATGTAGATGAATTTAAAATATGTTTGGATCGTTTAAATGTATAAAGAAAGAAATGGCGAACGTGAGCTCTCTGAGCAGCCCCGGTTTTGTGAAAAACGGATTACGGATTACACCTTGTATGAATAATCAACACAGATCTCAAACAATGCAACACGTGATTCGCTGCAGATTTATATAAGAGCCATACATTTGTCATTTAGAGAGCCACACATGGCTCATGAGCCAAGGAATACTATAGATTAGAACTCTAAAAAGATTTTTTGAAACATGTGGGAAGTGTGTATCAGGTAATTTCATAAAATACACTTTTCAAATTAAGTTAATGTTTTTACTCTGAAGAAAATTAGACTTTTTAAACATACGGGAAAATCAATCGCACTGTTGGTCAGAATTATCACCATCAGATATTTTGCTAAAATCAGCTGGGGCTCTCATCTTCAGGTGCTGTCTGCTTGGCTCTGTATTGACCTCAAAGATCTTATGCATGACAGACGACATTGCTTTGTCAGAATTAAAAACCTTTCAGCTGCACTTGATAACACCAACAGGTCTCACTTAACCTTAACCTCCGCTGGAACCTAAACTTTCATAAGACACCTTACTTCTCCAACTCCTGTCCTTAGGTAATCTCTGCCAACCCCCACACCATACAATTTCATAAGTGTCAACACCACTGCCTTCTTTTCTGGACGTGATTGCAAGTTGTCGGGACAGTGGCGCGACCAGAAGGAGATGGGATAAGCTTCTCGGCCGACTTATACATATGTATGATACGAGCAACTCAATAAGAGAAAAATCCTCCCGCGAACAATCATATTACAAAGGCATGGAGATAGAGCGCCATGCTACAGGAAATGTTATTAGTGCCCAAGTGAAATGAGCAGCAGGGAGAGTCGAGAGATGTGCTACATTTAAGGAGAGTGGCCAACATTTATCATCTGTAACTTCATTTGGAGCTTATGAGCGAAAAGCCAAAGTGTGAACAGGAGTGGTAAATCTATTCCCAGCACAGACACCAATGAAATGCATGGAGTAATGAGCAGCAGTCAGACCCACAGAATGACACCCGTCACTGTGACCGTTCCCCAGAGGCCTCCCAGGGGCCTCCCAGGGGCCTCCCAGGGGCTATGGCTCTATAGCAGGGGTGTCTAACTCATTTTTCTAGGGGGCCAAATTAAAAAACATAATGCTGGATGGTGCAAGAATGAGTAAAATAAGGTGAATTTCTTTTCTAAACAAGATTTTTTTTTTTTACATATTATTGTCAAAATAACTGTATTTGTAGAAAGAGCATGTATCCCACACCAAAAAACGAATTAAAGCTGCACTAACTGACTTAATTTTTGTATTCATTACGAAAATACTGTCCATGTAGTGCATTGGGTTATACGTCCTTTTGAAGAAAAAGTAGAGCAGATTTGTGATAGCGTGACATTATATTTTAGATTGAGTTTTGATGAAACAAGGAAGAGAATGTGTTTCGGGTCGCAGATTGTGACCAATCACAGCGCACCACTGGCCCCCACTTTCGTGAGAAATCTACAGGTCCGTTAGCACATATACAGTAGCTGAGTTAGCACAACAATCCGAGGAGCTAACCTGAAGCTTCTGTGTCTTCGTCACCGGTTACTGCTTACACAGCGAGACAACCATCCAAAAGAAAGTCCCGTTCCTCTGCGCTTCCCGGTTCTATCGTTCTATGGTCACGCCATCCACGTGCAAATCCATATCCATGTATTATCCATATTGGGAGACACTAGCTCCGTCCCAACAGTGGGTGTGTGTGGGGGGCGATAGCTTCGTGGGTGCGGGGAGGGGAGCAGAAAGAGCGAAGCCAGCGAGTCCGCGGCTTCAAAATCCCAAAGTCAGTTATTGCAGCTTTAACAATGTGCAGATGCCAGAATCTAAATTCCAGGAAACAGGGTAGCATTGCACACTCAACTCAAAATATTATTAATTCATGATGCTTCGGCTTTATGCCTTCATCAGATCATGTTTTTCTTTTTCTTTTGACCACAAATTAACTGTATTTAACGTGAGTTTGGATCTTTTTTTCTAGGTTTGGGACTAAAATCACAACTGGGCCAAATACAGTGCCTTAACTACAGCTGAGGTGGGAGAGTCTGTCCATAGGACAACAATCAGTCGTGCACTGCACAAATCTGGCCTTTATGGAAGAGTGGCAAGAAGAAAGCCATTTCTCAAAGATATCCATAAAAAGTCTTGTTTAAAGTTTGCCACAAGCCACCTGGGAGACACACCAAACATGTGGAAGAAGGTGCTCTGGTCAGATGAAACCAAAATCGAACTCTTTGGCCACAATGCAAAACGATATGTTTGGCGTAAAAGCAACACAGCTCATCACCCTGAACACACCATCCCCACCTCAGCTGTAGTTATCTGCAGTTCATCCAGAGTGATCATGGGCCTCTTGGCTGCATCTCTGATCAGTCTTCTCCTTGTTTGAGATGAAAGTTTGGAGGGACGGCCGGGTCTTGGTAGATTTGCAGTGGTCTGATACTCCTTCCATTTCAATATAATTGCTTGCACAGTGCTCCTTGAGATGTTTAAAGCTTGGGAAATCTTTTTGTATCCAAATCCGGCTTTAAACTTCTCCACAACAGTATCTCGGACCTGCCTGGTGTGTTCCTTTGTCTTCATGGTTCTCTGTGCTTTAAACAGAACCCTGAGACTATCAAAGAGCAGGTGCATTTATACGGAGACTTGATTACACACAGGTACATTCTATTTATCACCATCAGTCATTTAGGACAACATTGGATCATTCAAAGATCCTCACTGAACTTCTGGAGTGAGTTTGCTGCACTGAAAGTAAAGGGGCCGAATAATATTGCACGCCCCACTTTTCAGTTTTTTATTTGTTAAAAAAGTTTAAATTATCCAATAAATTTTGTTCCACTTCACGATTGTGTCCCACTTGTTGTTGATTCATGACAAAACAATTAAATTTTATATCTTTATGTTTGAAGCCTGAAATGTGGCGAAATGTTGAAAGGTTCAAGGGGGCCGAATACTTTCGCATGGCACTGTATAAAGAAGAGATGTACAGGTATTTGTATATTTAACCATCAGTCTGATGGTTAGATATAAAAAAAAAATAATTAGATAACTGTAACTTCTACTTACATTTCGGTTAACACAATAGATAATTGGCTTCCTGAGATGAATGAAGTTTAACATTCCATAGTTGCCCTTCACCATCAGTGCTGCAAGTTACTGTGATAATTATAATTGACAATAATTTGAGAGGCCACTAAAAATGATCTTGCTTGAGTTTGACATGCCTGCCCTTTAAGCTCTTTAAGGTGCATGCCATTTCTTTCTTTAAACCACAATTGAATTTGTTTTTCCTTTATGGTCTCAAGCTTATCTTTATCTGAGGGGGGAAATAACATGACTTTTCACAATTTTTGACCATACTATTGGCAAGGAAATGTCAATAACAGGGGTTTTCTAATCAACTTCCGGTACAGATTGGACTCTCTTGAGGAAATGGGTGGAGTCCAAATGGTCCCTCCAATCTGTACTCCACCCAGGTTGCAACGAAAAACCTGCAGCCTGGTATCCCTGGTCTTTACTGGGGTCCCTTGCTTTAACACAGTTCACCTTGTTGTTTCGTGGATTTTTTATGTGTGCAATTTTTCAGGATTCTCTGTTAAAAATTGTGCTTCTCATGCGCCTTGTGTGTACACTCCGACAACATCATCTATAAATGCAAATAACCGCTAGTATCACAGGACAGGGCCGCGCTCATGAGCAGCTACATTTTACAGTCTGTACACAGCTTTTGACAGCTGCAGCAGCACTCAAGCAACCAACAGGTTTGATGTTCCCGCGATCGTACTTCAGCAAGCGTGAATTCTGCAGGTTCGTAAAGTGTATAAAGCGTATAAAGCTTGTGGTGAGGGGTTTTGCAGCCCTAAAACACACAACTACTACTTTTTGCAAATTTTGTTTACTGCAGGTTGCTTCAGAATGCAACCCCCGACATAAATGAGGGAACACCCACAGTCTATATATTACTATATCTATATTATTACTGCAGCACCTCTATATGATTAACAAAGACAAGATCATTATGATACATTAAACACATACAGACATGTCTAAAAGTTAAAAGAAAAGACCAATTGAGTCTTCAGATTACGGTTGAATTAGCTTTGAGACCATTAGGCAGATTATTCCATTTACAAGGAAACTGCCTTGACTTTATTTTCAGTTTTACAGAACGAACAACAGGGAAGCTTGAGGATTGAAGGTTACGCAAAGGTTCACAAGGCAAGATTCAGTCAGACCAATGAAGGTGCCAGACTGTGGAGGGCTTTATATAGCTGCTTTCCTTCATCATTTACAGAAGTTTTTGAGTGATGCATGTATGAACCATATTGTTGTGTATGTCAGATACAACGAAAACATTGATAACCATCTATTATGAATATGAGAAGAAATAATCATAAAGCATTGTTATTTGTCTCAATCATTTTACTAAGTTTGAAGCCAAAGAGGTATGATCATTTGGGCTTCACATATTCCCTTACTTTTATCTCTGCGATCACACTTCAGCAGTCGTGAGTTCAGGTTAAAAAAAGTGTATGATGAGGAGTTTCACAGCCTTAAAACAAACCACTGCTGCTTTGGGGATTGCACTTATTGCCGGTTATTTTATATACAAAGTAACTGCGTATAGAAATAAAGGGTAACTAAAAAGGACGTCAAAATGAGTAATGAATACTTATTCTCTGTACATGTTTAGTTACTTCCCAACACTGCGCACTTTGTGGAGAATGTGGAATTTCAGTAGAAAGCAGACGGCCCAGAGTTTAGGACAAAATAGCATAATAGTTTGAAATGCCTTATGGTATAAAATAGTGAATAAAAGTCCAACATGAAAGAAAGACTGAGGCCTTGACGATCTGGGAATACAATGAATCACAATGTATTTCCCATTTTGAACAATATCAACTTGAAGTTTAAAAAAAGTGTGTATTGCCAAACTGAATTAACTGTGCGTAACTTTTAAGACACATGAAGGAAGTGAGGCAACAACTTGTCTGTTTGTCCTCTTGACCTTTTTATTCATCAAAATGAGAAAAACTCCTCTTCAGCTCCTGTGCTAAGGCCACATGATTAGTTTATTTTAATTCAGACGTTGATAAATGTGATCTACAAGACGTGAGATTGCAATTATTGGAACTTTTGATTTTTGGCACAGCTCTAGATATGGGTGTCATTATTGGCGCCACCTGTATTTTAAAGCCAGGTCCCATTAGACCTCTGAAACTGTGCAGGGCAGGGCCTGGTTAGTACTGTGATGGGAGACCTCTGGGAACACTATTGGTGCCAGAGTGGGGCGGCTGCAGCTGTAAAGTGCCAAAGGCGTTGTGTCCTTAGGCAAGACACTTCACCCACATTGCCTAGAATGAGTCTAGTGTGTGTGTGAATGGTTGGTGTTGGTCGGAGGGGCCGATGGCACATACTGGGGTCTTTGCTACGGTCAATGTGCCCCTGGGCAGCTATGGCTACAATAGAAGTTTATCACCACTGTGTATGGAGTGAAAGAATAATGACATATTCTTTTACCCGTGGGTGGCACAGCGGTTAGAGTTTGTGTTTCATAGCAAGAAAGTCCTGGGTCTTG